CCTTGCCACACATGCATGAACATGTACACACACAAATTAAAAAGCAAAAATGTAATTTAAAAAGGAAAGAAAAAGTGCTCCTCGCATGGGTATTGGTCATCCCAATGCACATCCCTAGGTTTGGGGTGGAACATCCATTTTTGGAAGTGTGATGGTTTTTAAGCTGGGTGTTTGCCCTTGGCGCTGCCAATCTGCAAGCCACTCATTGAGGAAGTGCGTTTCAATAAGATTTATTTATCATATTAAGAATTCCATGGGCAGCTACAACAGAAGCAGCTACCGCTGGGAACTGCACATCCTCATTTCCTTGATGATTTGACCCTGGTTCCGTCCTTGAGTCCCATAGTTGCCAGGATTCTCCTAGGTCACCTCCACAGCCAAGCTCCCTGGTCTCTCACACCACAAACATCATAGTGGCTCAGGCTGACTTGTAATCTTTCTCTAGCCCAATTATATTCCCATTTTATCTTTTCAGCAATCTTGAGAACTCATCAAGGAAAATGCCTCCCAGTTTCCGGCTTCCACCTAAGGGGATTTAAGTGATAAAAATCTCCTTACTTACTAAGCAGCAAGCCCAGAGCAAGTGTGAAGTTAATTTAATGAAATTAACATCTGCTTTTTAGGGAATTTAAAAAAAAGGTTTCTTTGAGTTACAAAAGCAAATAAGCCATTTAAAACAGGAGGGAAAACATGGGGAAAATCAGTAAGAGAAAATATCCAAGAATATCAAGTATAAATCTATGATTTTCAAAAATTTCTACATTTTGATTTGTGTTCTATTATCATCTATGCATTTTTTTCATATATGTTTGCTTGTGTCTAGCTCAAGGTAGTGCTTTGAAAGCTTCATTAAAACAAGGTAGCAATCACTTGTACTCTATGACTTTGTTAATGGTAAGAAAGGCTGAGTAGCTGACCAGATCTTTCTATGTTCCCTGATGGAAAATTGTTACAAACTGTTGCCTCAAATAAGGGAATCAGGACAGAGTTTTCAAATTAGCTTTCACAATGGCACCACCCTACCTAAAGACTGGAAACAATCTGTACTTAACACAGACCTGACTGGAACCTTGACTGTGGCTTCGGTAGGTATGTACATTCTAATCCACATGGGGATTTCATTTTCCAAATAGCAATGGTCTAGGAAGGCTCACATAGACAGTACATTAGACCTTCTGACTTCCGTTTCCTATTCTTCAATGATTGCCTCCACAATCTTTTGCATTTCAAACCTCTTCCAAGGCATATTTGTGAAAACAGTTTTTCTCCTCCAACTAGAAGTCTTATAGAGACTTTTTGAAATAGCGCAGCAATCTTTTGAAAAACTCGTAAAGGAAGAGCATAGTGTAAAATGTGTTATGAAATTCTGAAACAAGATTTGATAGAGATTATATTTATTGGGAACAGGTTTCAGATATTATGTAGTATTATAAAATGAAGAGTTATATTTAATAACCAATGAAGTCCAAGAAAATTCTTCAAAATGATTCTGCTCCAATCAGATTCTCTTCTTAAGTCTGACTTTTTTTTTTTATGGTGTTTTTGTTTTTGTTTTTGAGACAGGGTCTCCCTGAAACCCCAGCTCGCCTGGAACTCACTATGCAGGCCTTGATCTCACAGAGATCCACCTGCCTCTGCTCCCGAGAACTGAGATTAAAGGCATGTGCCACCATGCCCAGCCCTCAAGTCTGACTTTTTAAGAAGGTATTTATTTGTTCTAGATCCCTAAGGTCAGAAGCAGGGTGACACAGACTAGAAACTGAATAACTGTGTGTTGACAATTGAATGAAGCATCCCATATCAGCCCAGCCACTGGTCTTGAGGGCTTGTTTCTGTGGGTTCCTTATCACTGCACTAGGCTCCAGATACCACAGATGAGCTTTTCCTCCTCCACCTGTATCACACGTGGTGTGACTTGTGTTGTTAATTAGGATCTCAGCATTAAGTCTGGCCAAAGAACAGCTTCTAACCCCTCTTCAGTCTCTTTACCAAGTCATCTCACAGAGCTGTAAGAGCAGTGACTATAACATTCATTTCATTCCAGAAAAGAATGAAAGAAATTTTCCTCGAGAGCCTAAAGAAGATGACAGAGGGCTGGAGAGATGACTCGGCAGGAAATATGCTGCTGCCAAGCACAAGAACTGGAGTTTGGATCCCCAGCACCCAAGTCAATGGCAGGTGCATTCGCCAGAGAACTGGAGACAGAGACAGGGAATCCCTGGAGCAAACTGGCTAGCTTGACCAGCTAAATAAGTGATCTCTGGGTTCAAGTGCCTCCATATATAAAGTGGAGAGTGATCAAGGAAGACACCCAATGTCAACCTCTGGCCTCCACACACACACATGCACATATGTTTGCACACATGCAATCATGCATACACAGATACGTACAAATGTAGAAAAAATGTAAGCAGATGACAGAGACAGTGGTGGGATCATAGGAATCTAGAACGTTGAGAGCTGAGACTAACTTCAGGTGTATGGATGAGCTGTGTCCTTGGTATACTCGTTCATTCTGGCAGGAAAAGAAGAAATGCCTTATTCTGGGAGGCCCTAGAAAGGCTGGTGCATGGGTTAGAGCATCTCTCAGGAAGGCCTTCTGAGGACAGGATGAAAACCTGATAATCCCAGACCACTGAGAAGAAAAATCTCTGAATAATGCAAAATAAGATGTGGATCGAGGGTATACGAAGGGGCTCAGTGAGCGCTCAGGAAAAGGAAACACCAAAGACGTGATGGAGAGGCTGAGCCCTGCTCTAGCTGCCTCACCTCTCTACTCTAGGGTGCCAGAAGGAGACAGGAAGAGCCACAGAAGTACATCTGTCACACTATCATAACAAACCGCCAACTCTACGTACAGACAAGTTTGCTGCTTTGCAATGATCCTAAGGCAGGGTTGTGAGCACCCACAAGAGTTATGTAAAAACAGAAGGGAATGAATGGTCTTCTTGTCAAAGGAATACACCTGCTTCCATTTCCAGCTTTTTACATTTCCACAGCCAATGTCTGAAAGATTTACTCAATGGAGACCTTTCCTAGAACCCAAAGTTTATCAGAAACCCTCTGTTCTGACTTAAATTCTTCTAAGTCTACGGACACTGTGGCATCACAGAGAAAATATAATGAAGGTTCGGCAATTTGTGTTGCTGTTGCTCTGCTTTTTCAAAAATTATAATACCATGATCATTATAAATAACAAGATACAGTTGAAAGGAAAAGGTTTTTAACAATTCCGAATTTTCCATTAGGAAAAGCAGATGTCTAGCAGATATTCTTAGTTGAAAATAAGCATTTTTTTCTTTGCCCTACAGAGTTCAATACATTTGCCTTAAGTGCTGCAAATAAAAGGCAAATAAACACAAGAGTTTTGAGAACTCTTAATAGACAAACTCCTGGGCTTTTCCTTTCTTCCTTTCTTTTTTTTGGGGGGGGGAGGGTTCTTTTTGAGATAGGGTCTCCCTGTAGCCCCAGCTGACCTGGAACTCAATATGTAGACCAGGCTGGCTTGGATCTCACAGAGATCTCCCTGCCTCTGCCTCCCGAGTGCTAGGATGAAAGGTGTGCACCCCTGTGCCACTTTCATTTTGTATTTTTAGTACAGGATTTACTAGGATGTGCTAAGTGCTTAATAAATGTCTTTGTGCGATTAATATGTGTAATTGCTATCGGTATTTTGACAGTGAAAAAATAATAAAACTTTTGCAGTATGCACTGTATATAGATATATATTCACATACACATAAAAATAAATGTGTGTGTATATATATGTATATTCCAATATCTGGAACAGTCTCAGTGGTAAGTGGGCATATAAGGCATAAACAGTGCCGTCCTCAGGTGGAGCAGGCTAAGATAAGGTGAGCAGTCTTTAGTGTGATAGATAGTCTAGTCTAGTGAACTCTTTTCAGAGTAGCAGTCTAGTGTTCTAACACAGGTCATGACCTCTGAAGCCTGACTTTTTGCTTGTAATTTATTCCTTCTTAGAGTCTTCAAGTTAAAGAAAGTGACACACTAGGAAAACTTGGATGTAAATCCATGATAGACTGGGTTATTTTTGTAGGAAGCCCTCTTCCTCATCCTTGGGAGATTGAGGCCTACTGTTGAAACCCTCATCCACTACAAATAAAGGTAGAAAATGCGCTGGTTTGTGGCCATGCTCTTCAAAAGACTTATAAAGAGATAATTTCCTCCAGCTAGCTCATCGCTAAAAATACAAGGTCTGTAGAAGCTCAGACTCGTCCAAGAGCTCAAGGCAAGTAAATGAAGGTCTTAGTCTAAGTACATCCGGAATCACCAGTCTTAGATCTACTTGTCTCATAGGCCTAGTCTGAGGTTGGAGAAATGGTAGAGAAAACAATTGTAGATTGAAGAAGCCTGGGGTGGAAGGGTAGGAGGGGGTCATTAGCAAATCCCTGGGCCGGGGGGGTCACCTGCTCTCCTGCATCAAAAGAGTGACACAAACCATTCATACGCGCATCGAGGGTGAAGGGCCCTTTTTCAGAACCAGCTGTGGAGAATCTGCTCAACAGTGGCCTCGGAACAGCTGCAGCTGCTGCATCCAGGGGAGGGTGGAAGAGCAAGTCAACTAGGAAGGGGGCTGCTAGGGCCCCGCTACGCCACCTCCCGGCCAGCTGGGAAGCATTTCTACGCTAAGAGCTAGGACTGAGCCACGGTTCGAACCCAGGCGAAGCAGGACCCGCGCACCGCAGGCCCTGGCGGGTGCAGCCACTTGAATCTGCAGCAGCTGGAGCCGCGGAGGCTGCGCCTGGCAGGTTGCTGCGCGCAGGGAGTCGGTGCCATTACCAAGCACCGCGCGCTTGGCCGACTGGGCTGAGGTGACTCCCGGTGCCTGGGCGAAGTCCGAGGTCCGAATCGCGCCCCAGGCCTGTCCCCGGCTCTGCCCGTGCCCCTGTCGCCCTCTCGGGTCCCCAGCCCCATCCCCAACCCCGGGATCCCGAGTCTGGCCCGGAGCCCGGGCTGCGCTGGCGCATCGCACTCACCATCTCCTGCCTGAGGACCTGCAGCTTGGTCTCCAGCCTCTCCAGGGCGCTGGGGTGGCCCCGTCGCGGGGAGCCCGAGGCCGGGGAGGACGAGGAGGAGGAGGACGCGGAGGGCGCCAGGCTGCTGCTGCCGCTGCTGCCCCCGCAGGGCTCGGCCGCCGGGTCCCGTGGCGCCAGCTCCTCCCCGCGCAGCGAGCGCGCCAGGCTCTCCGGCACTTTGCGCCCCAGCTTCAGCTCGATGTCGCGGAGGTCCGGCAGCGGGCCGTCTTCCATGACTCTGGGCAAAGGGCGACGGTGACAGCGGAGGCGGCGGGCGCCAGGCGGAGGCCTGGAAAGCTGGGGCGCTCAGCGGCGCGCTTCCCGGGCCGGGCCAGGGTCCCCACGCACGCCCGTCGGCCCCATGCCGCGGCCGCAGCCCGCAGATCCGCACCCACCCGGCCCAGCTCCCGGCTCTGCCGCTCCTGCAGCGAGTCAGCAGGATCGCTGTGTGCCTTCTCTGCGGGCCACTCCACCGCCGGGCCGAGTTAACCGAGATTGCAGAGAAGGGCCAAAGCGAGCACTTCTATACCGAAAGGAAACAGAGGGAAACGGAACCTGCCTCAGCTGGATGGGAGAAAATTCCTATTTCCAACTGTCCGTGTTCATCCCTGCGCCGTTCACAGTGCCCATCTGGTACTACACACAGAATAACGCTGTGGCCACACTCCTGGGTCGCTTCATTTTCCAGCCATATGTCTCCAAGCTATTAGAACATCCTGGATTGCCAGGAAAAAGAAAAATCTCTGGTCAATGAAAAAAGTCGGTCTGTGGCGTTTTTATGCGCATGGACGCATTTTGAAAAGACGGAGAGAGACGATTATCTTAGCAGGGGTTTAACGGCTTCCTGGTTGCGGCTGCAAAGTCCTCCTTCCCATGAAGGCTGTTTGATCCAAGTCATTGTGTTCCTGCGAGCTTCGGAAACTTTAAACTCCACTGGCAGGTGGACCAACCCCTGTACCGTATGTCACAGACAAAAAGAGCAACAGAAATATTCCCAGCCCCGAAGCTAGGCGCCAACTAGCAGTTGTTTCAGTTGAGTTACGCATATCAGGGTGCTAAGCTTTAAGTTTTCCCGCTGAAGTCGCCTGGTAGCTACATTCTGTAAAACACATTTTAAAAATCAGAGCAAGAAAAATGATTAAATTTGATGCTGTTTGCCCGCAAAGGTCCTAAAAACGAACACACAACTTTAGAAATCTTTCCTACTAATTCTACAGGCTAAAGAAATATAATCAATATTTCGATCAACTGTAATCAATAGTTCCATGAACATGTACGTCGAAATACAATTATCTTAATAAAATCCCAGTATTCCACCACTATACCAAGTGAAGAATCAAATAGACAAAATAATACATACACAACCTGGATGGCAGTAGGCTGTTAAATGGGGGCAATTGCTTGTGTATTTCTCTTTAATTCTGGAGAAAAATACCAACTAGTGGAAAAATCTCATCTTCTGTGGTAATTTATCTCTATTTTTTCAGCTGTTTTGGAAAACCCACAAATGTGTAAATTATTAAACCGAGATACCAAATAAATTAGGATAAAGTACATAGATTATAGCATTGACTGAACATTGTGCTTGTAGCACCACGAGTAGAGAATACTGTTTTCTACCAAGTAAAATATAATCTTGGGTTTCCAATATTGAAGCATTTTAAAGTTGAATCCCCTTATTTCTGGGACAAGTAAATGTTTGTGGGTTTGGTTCCTCTGGCTTCTCTCCCCAGAGTTACCCCTCAGCTTTTATACTCAGAACAGTATAGTTAGATGAACTTCAGAATTTGTTTGTATCATCATCCTACCTAGGAAACCTTCTAAGGAGAGGAAAGAGCCAGAAAGTTGCATGTTAAAATGAAAAAAAAAAAATGTTAAGTGGCCCATTTCAAAGTTAGAACCACCATTTATGAAATCAAAGGAGAAGATTAAATCTTAACTCACCGATAAAACAACGTGCTTTGTCCTAAAGTTGGAAAACCACAAGTTCGTTGCATAAGTGCTGTGCTGCACTACAGCATGTAATTATGGAAGGCTTTCCTTTGACTCAAGTGCTGTGTTTTATTCTGAACCCCTATGATGTTCCACCCAGGGCTGGCTAAGAAGAACAGCTTTCAGGTACAATAGCTACCGTGATCTTAGTGGGAATGTCATTGCTAAACTGTCATCAATGTAGTTGTAAAAAGGGAGTATCTATGTAATGAGTTATCGACAATAAAATTAGTTGATGCTAATGATAATTCAAAAATGAAAAGTGTGTTTTTCTTGCTTTGTAAATCTGCAGGAAAAAAAAAACCTGATAGTAAAAAGAATAACATACATATATACAATTAACACTTTATTCTGTTGAAAAAGAAAACAAATGTAAACTTTTAAAGAAAAGTTTAGCTATGTTAAGCCTTTAAATTTTTCTGCGTGATGCATATGGCATTTTTCTTTAAACTAGAAGTGTGTTGAATGCGTGATGTGGAGAATATCACAGAGCCACAGTCTTTATTAGGCCTACAATAGAGTGTGGTGGACTTTTTTTTTTTTTTAATCTTTTGGTATTGAGCACATTTTCTGTTTATTTTCAAGATGTATTTATGACAGTGTGAGAGGTTTGACCAGTTGCCTTTGGCATGATGTGGGGAATTAGTGATAATCTGCAGCAGTGAGCCCAAGGAGGGTGTGGCGTGGGCACGGGGTCAGCCACAGTGGGAGAGGGAGTGCAGGAAAGGGAAGCAGACAACCAGAGATGTGCCCTGGCCCCTCTCAGCAGACTCCCTGCCCTCTCAATCTTGGCAATACCCCAAACTCAGGGTGTTTCCGCAGGCCTACTGTATTGAAATGTATAGTTGTAAGAAGTTACTGTTTGCATTTGAGAACACTTTTTATATTTTCTTAGGTGATGTGTTTGGACACTGCTTCAGGTCTGAGCTACACTAGCCTTTCTACTTATTTAAAATGCATAAAGAAACTAAGAATGGATACTGAATCACAGAGAACTTCAAGACTGAGTCTCTTCCTCTGTCGGACTGCGCTTGCCGAGAAGAAAAAGGGGTCTCTTATTTATTACAGAAAGTCTCTAGTGGTTAATTAAATAGGAGCATTGTTGGACTCAGATGACATGTTTTCAAAGAATGTCTGGGCACAACAGACTGAGGTGAGGCAAGTTTCACACATTCCTCACTAACGCTTCCTGTTGTGAACCCAGGACTCAGAGCAAAAGTAGATTCAGTGAGACTTGGTGTAGTGTGGGCAACACTACTCCTTAATCTGCAGCTGGCATTGCACTTAGACGAAGAAAGATCTTCCACCTTCTTTCTGTCACCAATTGAAAGTCTGCCAGATTCCCAGGCTTTCTGACACAGGGTTCAAGGACTGGGGCAGTCTTTACCAGAGACTCCACTCCCCAAAGTGCAGAAGAAAATCTAACAGCCAACAGGGTCAAATTACTTTTAAGAGTTTTAGGAAGTAGCTATTTAATAGGTATCAGGTTCTTTGAATCTTTGTTTTAAATGCATGAAGCTTCTGAGTCTGTAAATATTTTTGTTCAGTTTATAGGCAGTACAAGGAAGACTTCACAGCCAAGCTAAAGAATGTTGACCTTGCCCATATATGGTGGAATGATATATCTACTAAGTTTTATCTGGCCCATTTATAAGTCATTTAATTCACCCGTAATTTTGTGGCTGGCTTAGCTCTGTTTATGTAGTAACTTCATTTGGCTTATTACCAGTTTGAGCAAGTTGTTCATGAGAATGCCATACCTACTGTCATCTCTCATCTGTCTGTCTGTCTGTCTGTCTTCTACCTTCTGTGCATCTGAAATGTTTCTACTTAAAGAGCACAGCGCCTTTAAAAAGTATACTTGTTGAAATCTAATTAATATTTATAATCAGAGCTAACCACTTCCCTAAGAGATTTAGTGCACAATGCTAAAAGTAGGTCACCAGCATCTAAGTCTCCCTTATCTCCTCTTCCCAATCCCTGCTCAATCTCTCCGCTTTCCTTACATTATGTGTAATAGTACTTGTGTTTTCTCTTTTGCTTTGATCAGCTCTAAATGCTTTATAGAAAGATTCTGAACAGGACTCAGAAAAGAGAATTCTTTGACTACTTTTAGTCCTTTCCTCTGTAAAGTCCATCCCAGCTTGGTCTATAGGATGGACTTCACAGGCAGTTTTGATGCTGTTAGTGAATGTTTACGGCTAACTCTATGAAGATACAAAAAGAACTGATTTTTAACTCTTGACAGTGGTATAAATATTTGCATCATGCCTGACATTAAGCAACTAATGTGAGCTGGAAGAAGATGGGCAATAATGTCATACTACAGTGTCTCCTCCGCCATACAGATAAGATAGATGTAAAATTCTATGCTATTTATGAAAATAGTGATTATGAAATAATGAATTATTTATGTGAAAAATGTATTCAAGAACATAGAGTAATAAAAGGTCAAAAATTAGAAAGTAATAATGAAATTTGATATTTTAAATTTGTTTAAAATTTTGTATTTGTTTTAGTTTACCTAATTTAAAGTTTATATAATATAATTTTTAAAATAATCGCTGTGTTTAACAGTGGGCTTGCAAAATTCCCCAAAATTTAACAACAATCTCTTACAAACTGGTGTGGGTTGCCTCCTGTAGACAGACCCTCTGCAACAGGGTTTCATAAAATCACTGGAGGAAAATCACTAATTATGATTAAGAAAGGAAATAAAAACTCAAACCTAGAAAAAATAGCATAGTTTTTAAATCTAGGGGTTGGCCAGTACTATGACTGGGGAAATGAGTCTCAAGGACAGACATCAGATAGATTAGGAAACTCACTAAATTGTTTGTTTCCTTGGGTTGCCATAACAGAGTCCCTCAAACTGAGTAGCTTAGATAACAGCAGTTTATTGTTTTATGGTTCTGTCAGCTTAAAATCTCCAGTCAAGGTGTTGGCTGACCCTGCTTCCATCTGGAACCTCCAGGGCTGGACCCTTCCCTCCTTTCAGCTTGTTCTGGCGCGTTCTCCTCCTGGTCTTCATTCGTTTTCCTTATGCCTGTGTCTAAATTTGTCCTGTCTTTTAAGGACGTCATATTGAATTACAAACCTATCCACCATACACCAAGTGTATCTTAATTTAGCAAGTTATAATTAAAATAATCTTTTTGGGGGGGCTCTTTTTGAGACAGGGTCTCCCTGTAGCTCCAGCTGGCCTGGAACTCACTATGTAGACCAGGCTGGCCTTAAACTAACAGAGATATGCCTGCCTCTGCCTCCCAAG